GGAGGCTGTGGCACCTAAATTAGACACCTGTGTCCATGGATATGAGCATGGCCCTCACCTTTCCCCACTGCTCAGAGAGAGGGAGAGCGGATGCTTGGGACGTGCTGATGTCCATCCCCGCCTACACTGAAGAATCACAAAGCTTTGGCAAGGATGGAGCCTCTGCAAATTGTGACCATGACCCTGAGTGTTTATTATGTGCCAGAGAGCGCGAGCCAGATAATAATTTCCACCCAGGGAAAGGACATGGTTTACAAAGAGCTCAGTTCTCAGACAATGTTGTTTGAAGTGTGAAAAGGGCTCCCTGAAGGCAACTGCTGATGTTTACAACATTAAATCAAACTCTTATCTAGTTCGTCCCTGCACTTTATTTAGTTTGGAGCATCACTGATCCAGTATGTGCGTGTGTATATTTATACGCATGCATGTGTGTATATGTGTGTATGTATAGAAGAGTTATGATCCTTCAGCATTATCCACTACAGCTAACTCCATGTTTCCTGTCATCATACTCAAGAGTATTTCCAAGCACTGTTTGGCCAGCACAGCGTTTGAGTTGGCTGCCTTCAGTATGAAGGTTCAGAAAACAATCCTAGATGAAAGACTCTGCCTGCCTTCGTGGGCAGGGAGGAGGCGAGAGACATGGGCTTGTACTATGCTAAGAGAGAACCTTCCAAAGGAAATTCTGGTTTTGTCTTCGTTGGAGGTTCCTCTCAAAGCTTAGAGGTGGCATGGCCAGATAAATTGATGTGATAGTTTTGAACCTAGAGAGTGAGCTAAAATAAATTAGATACAATGAAATAACATTTGATCATTAGGTTAGATACCTCCCATGTGCAGGGCCAGATTTGTTATGGTTATTCATGAGAAATACCCTTCTTAGCTTCAGTGGAAGTACTTGCGATGGAGTCATCAGATTTTTGCCCTTGGTATCCAATTCTGTATGTTGAGACACATATAGTTACAACTGGATGTAAAACCAGCTTCACATGAAGTTCCCCAAACTGTTGTTAGGATGTAGCTGCTTTCAGGTGCTGCCAAAACGGGGATCCCGAAAGAAAAGCCAGGTTCTAGTTAGGATAATCAATGCTTGCTCAGTTCTGGGTGATGCTCAACACGGTAACAGATCATGAATTGTTGTGATTTCTTTAATTTTATTTTTGTATACATGTGCGGTAGGTAGGACTAATACATTTTACTGGGCCAACTGGTATAGTTGGTAAAAACAAGCTTCAGTGCAAAGCCAAGAACTATTGCTCAGGTTTTGACTAGATTTGCATCAGTTTGATCATCTCTGGTACAGAAGATGGCTGTTTCTCAGAGAAAATGGGGCTGATTCCTGTAGAAGAAGGGTATGTTGTGCAGGAGAGAGAGGGAGAAAGAAAGATGCTAAGGGATTTTTATCCTAAAAGGAAAAACAAGATAGTTTATAGCCTGTGGACTTGAAGAGTTAGGGAAAGGTGGAAGAGTGGTTATAATATGCTCTAAGCCCAGTATGTCTATTAAATTTCATGCATTATCTTCTCAGCATGGGAACTAAAATTCATTATTAAATACATTCAGTATAGATGTGATGATGCTCATGATACCCACCTTGGGGTGGGTTTGTGTGCCTGGAAGCTTACCTCATTTTTCAAACTCAGTTGATCATATAAAAGATACGACTTCTCCCTGCTCGCCTCCAGCTCTCTTGCCTGTGTCCTTAAACTACCACATCTCCAGCAAAACACCAACAGCAAATGGATGTTAACATTTCTTTTGTTTTCCTAGAAGTAAAACTATACTATAAACACTATAAAGCCATGAGTATTTCATAAAATTTTGAAGATCCTCCAGGGCAAATTACAGTATAAAAGCAGAGTCCTCATGTTACAGCATTGCACTGTTAACAGGACGGTTCTTTAGAGGTGGCTTGGAGAGCAATCCCACACCCGGCTTTGGCAGCCAGGGCCACACCGTTCAGCATTCCAGCACGTGTTTGAACGGATCCCGCTGAGCTAAACTAGCCCCAGCACTGCTGTTCTTTTGCTCTGATTAAAAACTAGCATCTGCAAGGTGCTAATGCTGCTGGAAGACACCTTAGCTGTAGAATGGTCCCTATTGCTGTGGTGTCCGAAGGCTTCACAGAGTGTCTGTCCATCCTCCTGTGAACTAAACAAGTGCTGTTCTGCCTATTTGGGAAACACACAAATACCGAGACTATTTTTCTGGAATTACCACAATTGCATAGCAAACATAGAGTTAGTGGTGGTAGAAAACAGCTTGTGAACTATTGGAACCAGCAGTTTCTTACTGAAACCACTATCATTTCAGAAAATTGTCCCTAAACTCAAAAAAATACATGGCCTGTATTTGAGCTACATGCCTGATGAAAATTTATATAGAAAAAATGCATTTGCAAGGCCTTCTGGAGGCTGGCAGGAAAGATCTCCTGGCAGAGCTGGCAAGGGTGTCATACCCCAAGAACTTGTTCTGCCTGTGTTTCCAAAATAAAATTTGACAAGTGAGAAATATGATCTGTGCTTATGCAGCTTGTTAACAAACTTGTTCCTAAAGCAAAATGCTTTATTAGCTTTGAAGGAAAAATGTTCTTTGCAAATTTAAGTAAATTTTCTCTTTGCAGCTTGGTGTTTTTGATCAGTTATTGAACAAATACTTTGGCTTGCAGCTGTCCACATATTAAGTCTTCAGCTTAGTTTTCTTCTGCAGATTTGTAGTATGATGGTCAGTGCTCCCAGTTGGCTCATGTTGAGGACACCTGCCTTCACCAAGGTGGTATCCTTGGACAGAACAGAGTCCTCGTGACATTTTGGAGTGACTGCAGGGCCTGCCTGCACCAAAAGGTTGAGTGGGTGCAAGGAGAGTATACACAAATCTGCACACACTTGTGCACCGAAGCGAACGAGCTGTACAGCACAGGCAATACAACCGGAGTCTTCTCAGGCTGCTGGGTCTTCTCTTCATAGAAGTGACCTGGAGGCAGTCAGGGACAGACACTCTGTGTCGTGTCATTTGGGTCATGTAGACGTGACTGTGGTAAAGCTGTAGAAACTACCTCCCATTATGATTTCATGCTAGAGAAATACAGACAATGCACTGTATAATGGATACAGGTGTGGTGGGCTCTGTGTCCGTCTGGGAGTATAGACTGTGTGGGATCCATCAGGGTCACCTTCCACTAGACCAGGTTGCTTGGTATGGTGGTGGTCAGACAAGTGCCCTTCCCAGTTAGAGGTGGGCTACCCTGACTGGGAACCCTTCTCCTTCCTGTCCACAATCCTGCTGGCTCCAGTACTCTTGAATAACTCAACATCATTTAGCTCAGTTGTAACAGGATGGAATTGGCCAATCTCCACTCTTGGGAGTTGGGGGATTAGTCCCTCACCTTACTCCCAAGAGTAAGTAGTTCCTCTTATCTCTCTCACATCTTGGATGAGTGTTGCCAGCAGGAAAGAGGGGAGCAATTTGGAGGAGACTGGTCCCAGAGAGCACTTCTTAGATGTGCTGTTGACATGAAGGTGGAAAAAGCTGTATGTCCTTTGAAGAACAGGGTTACAGTTTGGAATGACCTGGTCAAAATGAAAGGAATGTCTCCAATTCATGGGACACATAAATGGAAACAGCAGGCTGGGGTATGTAAGCAGAGTTTCATCTTTTAAGAAACACTAAGCAATGCTGCCATTCTGCTGCCTTAGTTGGAAAACAGTGAACAGTTTGGGTGCCGCCCTCTAAGAAAGATGTGGACTCGTTGGAGAAAGTCCAGAGAAGCTCACTAGATCAGAGGATTAGAAAATATGAGTTATGAAGAAACAGTGAAAGAATCATTTTGTTTAGTCTAGAGAAGAGAAGACGGAGAGAAGACATGATAACAGTCTTCAAATATGTGAAAGGTTGCTTCAAAGACAAAGGGAATAAACGATTTTCCATGTCTTCTGGGAAACAGTGGGGCACTAGAATAGGTTGCCTGAGGAGTCTCCATCTTTTGGAGGTCTTTAAGGACTGATTAGCCAAATATCTGTCAAAATTATTTTGACAGAGTTGGGGTGGGGGGAAGGATGAGATGACCACTGAGTCCCCCAAACCCTCTGATTATTTTATGGGAGATCTTCAGACTGGGAGGCTCTGGGTTTGATAGATTCTTCAATTTCTTATGAATTTTTATTGCTTGGGTTTTTACACTGTGGCTAAAAAAATTGATTTCTGAAAACATCACATACAACATAGGAACCAATCTTTGCTTCCTGGATTCCCTGTGTTAGATAACACTAATTACCCAACACATGGACCAACAGTGGACATCAGTTCACTGTGGTGCCTACTCTTCCAACAGATCTCATGTCTTGAGGAGTTAAATGAATCAATAAAATTCCCTTGAAATAATTATGTTTTGTGGAGATTTGAATGTGTCTTTATCTGTTCAAGAAGCTGTGAGAGATCAGTTAAGTTTTTAGGTCGAGAGTTGTTCGGCTTAAGCTATTTGTGCAGCTCGTGCTGCTTTAGTGAGTGTCCGTGGATGTGCTTTGCTGTAAATCTGCATTAATCATGATGAATGGCTATGTACGCTGCTGGGGTGGCAGGACAATCTCCAGTGCAAACAGAAATCAGACAGGTTGGAGTGGCTGTGGAAGCTGCTGCATGGCTGAGGCTAAAAGTAGTCTCAGCCTGTTGATGTTAAATCTTTAGATGTAAAGAAAAAAAAAAAAAGGTAGAATGTTTTCATGTAGGGCTGTAATGGTGATAGAAAGCAGCCCTGCACCAACAAAATAAGGTCGTACCTCTTTGCAGCTGACAGACCTACAAGCCTTATCTACCCTTGCTTTTATTGCTCCAGATTTTCCACCCCTGCTGCCAGCAGAGACAGCAGTGGGAAGTTTGAGCTCTCGTGTGAATGAAATCATCATCACTGCAGGACCAGTCACACCTTGGACCAGCCAGGAGAAGAAGGAGTATTCAAGGAGAGGAAATGATCTCTTAAAACTCATCTTGTCTGTCTGTTTCAGGATCGCTGGTGACACAGCACTCAACAAAAACATCCACGAGTCAGTCAGTGCTCAGATCCGAAAGAACTTTGCAAAAAGCAAATGGAGAGTAAGTAACCCATCCCTGGGGATGACGCTTAGACACATAACTCTGCTAACGCAGCGGCCATACGACCATCCTCTCAGCGTGTTAGTGCTTTTGTGGCCCAAAATTTTGATCAAAATCGTTGGTCCAGTCTTAGGTTATGTGGCCTTATGGGGCCTTTTATGGAGGATGCCACCAATGAAGTGTAATGGGTGTGAGAGATGGGGCTGGGGCTGCTCATACCCAGAACACCAGCAGTTATGTGCGGAGTTAGGATCAGCACCATGGGGGTACATGGAGCCATGTGGCCACCCTGTGTGTCGGTGCAGGAAGGATGTGTCAAACGTGACTTTCCTTGTGGGCTGCCACATTCCAGCTGAGTGTTGGAAGAAATGATGGGGAGCAGGACCGCAGACAAAATGCATATGGCTTGATACTGCTGTTTCTAGCTTAGAAATTGGGAAAAGTTTGGAGGGTGATGGACTCATCCACTTCTGACAATACTGAACAACCAAGAGAGGAGCAGAATTAACCCTTCCACCTCCGGTTTTTATTGTTCTTTCTTTCTTTCTTTCTTGTTTTTTTTCCTCCAGCAAGCATTTAACGCCACAGCAGTTGTGCAACACATGCGACGATTACACCTCGGCAGCAGCCTGGACAGCGCGAGCGCCAGCGTGTCGAGCACCCTCAGCCTCGCCACGCCGCTTCCCGATGCAGCCGCACGGAAAGATTGTGAGTAGCTGACATCCCAGCAAAGCTCCTGCTGTGGCAGCCGAGCAGATTCATGGGATCCCCATTTTCTTCTTGAATCCCAGGCTGCAGTCCTTGCTGCCAGTAGGTTCAGCTTAGTGCGAGCTGGTGTTTGAAGTAAGGACTGAAAAGGGATCGAAGCTCTCATTTTTAGCTGACCAAAAATATTCAACTGGAAAACTTTATGCACTTTAAAAAAATTAGTTTTTAGCTCAGTACATTTTTGAGAGAAAAATACTGTTCCTTGTGGAGAAAAAGGACTTTCGCTTGGGAAAAAGACCCAGACCCCCAGAGCAAAAAAGTTTTTCATTTGGTTGAAGTTTACTCAAGCTGTTTATGTTTGAATTTCCAGTATTATGATAAGACATTTTTCTGTAAAAATTGGCTTACTTTCCATTTCCATTTTCCTTGGAGGAGACTGATCCTGCCAGTCTGAACCAGCTTCCCTCTCCCTGGGCCAAATTAAGCTCCTGTACGAAGAGGCTCATTTGTCTGAGCAGGACTCAGGCTCTGTACACCACAGTGGGACTTGGCCCGCTGCCTTGTTTGTTATATGCTGTAATTGAGATTTGCAAGCTGCCCGATGGAGCCAGATGCTTGGGATATATATTTTTTCCGAATGCCAGGGAAGGACACATGGCAGCGAAGGGATCATTTGGAAGATGGAAATGCTTCCTTTGTCATTAAACCTTTTTAATCTCTGGCTTCTGAGCTTTTCCTTTATTCCCTTCTCTCCGTCTGTGGAGATTTTTATATCATGAAATGGAGGAATGTGGACTTTACAATTCAAGGAGGTTATTTTAAGGTGCAGCACCACAATGGAATACTAACAGCTTGTGGTATTGCAAGTCAGTGCCTACTTCATTGGGGACTGAAGTGGTCATTTCTAGACTATACCCCACACTCTTGTGGAACCAAAACCACCTGCTACTCAGGATGGATTTTGGATGGTGCTGTTATCTGCCTCTGCCACCCCTGCCTGCCAACCTCTGCTCCTTGATGAGGACGTGCCACCAGCTGCAGTCCCCATGGCTGTGGGTGGAAGCTGTGGTTTCTCTCACCATCATGGGCATGGTTTCCCCCATGGCTGGGATGGGATCTGCCTTCTGGGCACTGCATGAGATGTTTTTCCCACTGCAGTGCTGATGGGCAGCGAAGTGCTTCCAACCATGGACTGGCAATGCAGCGGTGTAGAAAACCCCTTACTGGGGAGAAACATGCCTTTATTTTGGTTCCTGCCACAATACAGCTGAGATGGACCCCAGTTAGGTCTAGACTGTCTGATGGCATGCTTTGCTGTTAAACTGATGATTGGTTAATCTCCATCCATCCCCTTTGATTAATCTCAAATGGTGTTAACTAATAGCATTGAGTAGTCTGAATAGCAACAGAAAAACATCTGTGAAGAAGAAGGGTGGGAAGAGAACAAAGCCCATTTAACCACTACAGAATCCAGCAGGTCCCCCTGCAGAATCCGACCGTATTTTGCAGTGATGTTGAAGTCATCCAGGATATGAAGGATAAAACCAGATATGTTAAGATAGGTGATTTTTTTTTCATGTCAGGAATATGAGGCAGAAAAGTATCAAAATATTTCCAAGCATCCCAGGTTCAGTCCAGCTGGCCAGACAATACAGGAGAGCTTCCTTTCCTCTAAGAAATGAATTAAAGAGTTAGGAGATGCTGGCCTCCAGAGAACCAGTGAGGAGAGCCAGCAGCAAATACAAGGAGCGACATTAAGAGGGAGCTGACGTATCAAATGCACCCGAACAGATACCTCCTGTTGGGAAAAAGGAAACCTCTGGGGCCTCTGTCCTGCCTCTTTCTTTCTCAGCGCATTCTCTGGGGACAGATTTGTTGCACGAGAAAGATGTCATGCAGCAAGTTACATGAAACAGCTGTGCCACCATTACAAAATATAATATTGCTTAATGCTATTAATAGACACTTAATGAGCTCTCCAAATAGTTTCAAATGTGGCAATTTCACATCATTGAAGAAAATTAAATACAGCCTTCCCCTTGAGAGTAGATTATGTCAGGCTGCATCCTAATTCTGTTCTCTGTATTAGGGCAGAGCAGAGATGATACATTAGGCTGGATTATGCTACCTGTCAGGAAAGTCTAAGGGAATCAGTCAGGATTTATCAAGTATATTGGCCTGATCCTCAGTCTTCCTTGCCTGACTTATTCTGTTTAGAGATGATTGGGCTGCCTAGATTGGTTGCAGGACCTAGATTTCTGTATTTTTGTGGTAATAGATAAATTGCAGCATGAAATCAAGGTGTCAAATGTCAACACTGCTGGGAAATGAGATGTGGCTGAGTATAGGTAAAGCATAGTCATCCTTGAGGTTGAAATGTCACCCTGAAGCACAGAAAAGTAGGGAAAAGTTGTAATGAGCATCAAAAAGTTCCTGAGTGGTCAAGGGGCCATATCAAACTCCAGTCCAAGAATATATGAATATAGGTTTTCATCCATCCTTTGTTCACCACGCTGGCAAAATCAACTGAATTTCTAACCACTCTGAGCCTCCATCTCGTCAGAGCAAGGTGACCATGCTGGGTCCCTGTTCAGTGGCTTTTCTCGCAGCGGAGCTGCCTTAGCACATCAGTGCCTACAAGACTGCCAAACTTCATGGGGAGCTGTACATGCTGGCAAAATCTAAGGATGTCCCCTGTGGGGTCTCAGTGACCTCTGGGAGAAGGGTAGTTCATCCATGGAAAGCTCTGGCAAGGATATATTTTATTTCTCTTCGTTAGTCCTTTCCACAGAAACTGCTGATGTGCTGGAGTAGCAAAATCCCAAATCTGTCATTCAAAACCCAACCTGCTTTGGGCTTTGGGCTTTCAGGTGTTATGTTTTGGAGGGTTGTGGTTTTTAAAGCTGTGATGGAGGGTTCACTGGAGCGGATGCTTTTTATAAACATTTTAATTTAGCTAAAACACTTTTTTTTTTCATTAAAAAAATATCTGACAGAAGTCTCTGATTAGTTCAAAAGGAACTGCCTGGGTAAGTTGTGAGTCCAGATACTCAAACTATGTCAACCTACATCTCTTAGCTGGAAGTCCTGGAGACATACCAGCAAAACCTGGAACAAATGATGTCCAAGTCACACAAATTTACATTCCTTCTAGGTTTACTGGAACTCAGCAACAAATTTGACCCACTGTACTTTTTTATCAGCAGCTTTGCAGGATGTCTGGGGAATTTTTTTTAGTCCAGGTGCACAGTCTGTTTGTTTAACTACATGGCCATGATGTGAAGTTTAGTCATCTTTAACGTGTCCACAAGGAAAATTATTCTGAGCAAGTACAATGCTGGAGAGATTTTTAAATCCCACAACCCTTTGTCTTCATCCCCAAAATGTTTAATCAGTCTGGTTGAACACCTACCAAAGCTGGACATTTATTCATTGCAACATGCGTATGCAACTGCTGGTGGTGGCAGTAGGTGATCAGCCGTGGACCAGGAGGGCAGAAGATGCCCTGTGGAGGTACCGAACCAACCCACCGCTGCGGGAAGAGCAGGAGCAGGAAGAAACTCAGCTTTGTCCACATTCCCACCTCCAAAAATAACATTTCTAACTCTGTTTCTGGCTTTCCTTTTAGGTATGTCTCCATCCACTCTCTGTAGTTTTGTTTCATCTGCTTCTTCAGGCGTTTCTGCGGTAGGAGGGGACCGGAGACCCAGACCCACCACAGTGACCACAGTGCACACAGGGAGCAAGTGAGAGCCAGGGCGGCGAGGAGCAGGCAGGCGGCGGGGCCGGCAGGGTTCCTCTGTGCGATCCTCACCTGCAGCGCATGCTCAGCGAAGGACTAGAAGAAAGAAGATTTTTTTATGGCCATATTTTATACTGCAATTCTGAAATGTTTCATTTATCACAAACTGCAATGACTCCAGGGGGAACGGATCTAACAGTCTCTGGTGCTGTACATATATATATACATATATATAAATATATATATATATATGTGAGTCTAGCAATGTTCTATCTAATGAACACTCATTCTTTTCCCCAGTGATTTACTCTTTTCTCAGTGTAGGTAACAGTATATGTTGTATTTTTTTTTTCCATTAACTACGAACATCTCAACTGGATTATTTAAATAGAGATACTTTTCTGAGCATTATTTTTTTTTCTTTTAAAAAGTACTTCCAGTTATGTCCCTCCTTCCAGTTTGCTGGGGGATAGGCTATTTCTGTAGGTAGGAATTGACATTAACTTTGCAACATGGGAGGATTTCAATGGCATGCCATTTCTTGCTCCTCAAGTCGGACTGCAAGTCTGCCTGGCTTTAGCAGAGCTGTTACTGCTCAGATTAAGAAACTGCTGCTTTCCCTCCCTTCCTCTTCCTTGAAAGCCATGGCGAGAGTTAAATTGCCACCAGCTGAGAGCCAGCTCATCCTTGGCCTCATTCCTGTAATGCTGGGGGTCTGCAGCACCCATGTTTCAGAGGAGAGGCAGGTACATGGTGCCGGTCAGGAGATGACCTCCTTGGGGCTTTGCCTGGTGTTACTGATGCTCAAGCACCTCCCAGAACGGCCAAAACCAATTATTAGAAACTAAATAGAAAAGTCTGGACCTTAATTTCTGCATGCCTGGGCTTTATCACCCGGGAGAGGGGTGATGCTTGCACCCCACTGTGAAGCACAGGCAGGTTTTTGGGGGAGTGCAAAGTGGAGGGTCTGGCGTTGCGTTGCTCCATCACACTTAGCTCCGGCCGAGGGCTGTTGAGGAGCACCAAGCTGGGAAAGCAGAGCCTCCCCAGAAGGCATGGGCATGAGCAGGGAAGCAGTGGCACTGCCTCCCTCCCCATCCTCCACAGAAGCTCATATTCAAAAGCAAACTCCATTTGCCCTTTTTTTTTTTTTTTTTTGTTATTACTAAATACATGCACTTCCCAGTCTCCCTGTGCTGGTGCATTGTTTAGGAAGAGTCACCACGACCGTTGTGCCGCTGTGCATCAAAGCAGCTTCAAAAAGAGAGGAGAGCAAATCTGCCCAGGTTTGCTGAAGGGCTTTAGGTTACTTCTACACCATTCCCAGCTGGGATTTTCCTTCAAGGAGGAGAAAAGGGAGGCGGGCACCCTTCCCCATCCACTGTGAGCCTCTCGCTCCCCAGCCAGGTCCATCCCCGGCCAGAGGCACAAGCCGTCCCCTGCAGCGTGCTCTGTTGCCTCGCTCGCCTCATTTATCCTGCACAAGAAATTGTGAAAGCCGGTCACAGACACAGCTGAAGGTATCAGGTGATAGTGACTGTGCTGGGAAAAGCCATAATATATGTATTTTTCACTGAGACTTCAAAATCCTGCTTCAGCTTCAGTCCAGTGGCTTTAACTGGCAGAGCCAGGATTTCATCCATCATATTTTGAGCGCTAAAGTCTGGAAAAGCAGATGGCAGTGAGCACTGACTCTGTTTGAAGTAGCCTCTCCTTTGGTGGCACTTAACGCTGTTACACCCGATAGATCTCTAGTTTCCTCGGTATTAAGCTGCTCCCCATTTTTGGAGGGTTGTGGCACATCTGAGTGAGCCCATGGGAGCCCCTGGTGCCCCCCACTGTGCCGCAGCTGGCATGGATGCTCACACAGAGAGGCTTCTCGTTTTAGGAAAGATGCCAGATATTGGTCTCTTGAGGATTGGTAGCAAAACTCCCTATAATTTCCCAGTGAGGACTTCTGACAGAGATTTGGGCAGACTGAAGGACAAAGGATCTCCTTGCTGCAAGTCACGCTCCTGTCCCCATTCCCAGGCCACTGCCACCATATACTTCTGCCCCACTGACAAAGACTAGGAAGAGCTTTACTGGCATTTTGGATTATGCTTTGAGCAAACTGGTCTAGTGGGAGGTGTCCCTGCCCATGGCAGGGGGGGGGGGACTAAATGATCTTTAAGGTCCCTTCCAACCCAAACCATTCTATGATTCTGTGATTTACCCTCAGGGCTTTTTATGTTTTGCTGCAAAGGTATCTGAAAATGAGTATAATACAATTTAAACTCATTCTAAGGCCACTTTATTTTGCCAACCTGAGTAAGGAAGCTTTAGTTTAGGAGAGACTCCTATCTCAAGAAATTCAATTTATTTTGAACCCACATAAGCTCAGCTGGCCTATTCTGCTCCGGTTGCATGGATGTTAATAGGTAGTCCCTCAGTTTGGAATCAGTGGAGTTCACTACACATGTGCAACCCAAAGCAGGATTTGGTTAGGGAATATTTTTGTCTTTGTGCAGTTGTTTCAAAGATTAGGGCTCAAGCGTTCCCTCTTTGCCTTCTTTTCTGAAACCTGAGGTCTGGTTTGAACTTGATGTAGTTGCTGAGGCCACTAATCAAAATACAGCATCCAAATGTATCTTGGAGAAAAGAAAAAAAAAAAAAAAAAGAAAGAAAGCAAATGGATTTCCATCTGCAAAACAGAGAGCAGTGATGGGAGCAAAGGCAGACATGGTGTCCTGCAGCTGTGGGGGGTTCCCATATGCTGGCTGCCTCTCCTTGGCAGACGCTTTCTGTGTTTTTTTTGTTGGGAGGAGTATTCTTTCTTTCCTTTCACACTTGGAATTAGGGTGATTTGTTTTCCTTCCTGCAAGTAATATTCTGCCGTAGTTGTGTAATTTATTGTCATTCTCTTTGGCTTGTTATCAACTGCTGGGATCTTAAGACAAGAAACAGAAGCACTTAAAAGCAAAATTGTTTTTATCTCCTACAATTTTGGGTGGTGGGAAGCTCTTCTTTTGTATCAGTGAAACACAGCTGGAGACCTGACCGGGGGTTCACCACATGCTTAGAGATCTCTCTTGTCACTGAGTCCTGAAGTAGCTCTTGATTAAAACTTCTCGGTTTAAATCTGGGTAAATCTGTTAACCAAGATGACTTAGCAGCAGTCAGCTCAGATTTTCGGAAGAGGCTGGAGCCGTTTGCCCCTCGGCAGCGCAGTCTAGTACGGCAAACGCTCCAGCATCACTTGCCAGGGATGCTCCAGTGCTGCTGTGTGTCCTTCCCCTGCCCCAATCCACCTCTGCTCAGCCACTCTCACAAATGGATGCAAAGACAGGAATAAATGATGTGTGCATGTGCAGGAAGGGCTAATAACCCGAAGTAGAGGATCCAACACAAATCCCCAACTGGCCTTGCCATGAAGGAGCAGGTAGAAAAATCCCTCTGGGATCTTTCCCAATGGACCGTCCTACTAAAAATATGTGTGATTTGCTCTTCATGGGAGGACTTCAGCCTGGACTCACCTGTCTGTTACCCTTTTCTGCTTCACTGGCATCAATGTGTTTTTCCTTTGTAACTCATTTTCCTCAGCTCCTTCCCCTTCTTTTTCTTTGCTTGCAGCTTTGATTGTTGATTTTTACCTCCAGAGTCACAGAGGCCATCTCTGATGCCAACAGCAGCACTCTTGGCTGGGAAAACAACAACAAAAAAATTCAGCAAACCTCCAGCTGGCCCCTTAGCTTGCAGAAGAAGTTGTGAGGACAGGCTGCCCATGAACTCTGCGAGCTGAAAGTCAGTATTGCAGTGGCAGGGGATTTCACTGCTGATTTTGCATGTGATTAATTCATTTCCAGTGCATCCTAACTTTCTACTGGATCAGCCCTTCTGCAGCACAAAGTGGATCTTGGCCCTGTGGCATGGCTAGTGGGGAAGTGGGCATACAGGGAAAACCTGTCAGTGATGCTTTCCCAAGACTGTGTTACTCTGCTGGTGATGATGTCTCTTCTGTCCTGGTTGCTATTGTACAGGAGTCTTTGGAGTAGTGGGTGTAGAAAAAAAAAAGAAAAAAGTAGGATTTCTTCCTATGCCTTGTGTGTCCGTTATGGTTGTGGTGCTGAAATAAAACCAAGCAATGATAGAGGTTCGTTCCTGATATCAATCAAACCACAAAAAGAGGTGTCAGCCCACCGGTAGACATCTCCGTGTAGTTCAGCAGTAGGCATTAGACAGGGGTTTGCGCTGTGCATGTGTCCTGCGTACCTCCATAGCTATTGACAGTATTTTTTCTATAGCCAGTTCTCCTTCTTCTGGCACCCTGCCTGGCCCTGAGGGACTTCAGGGCTTGTCCAAGCTTTTCCCAGCCCCAGGAGCCAATGCAACCCTTGATCTCTGGCTTTTCTCCCCAAACCCTCTGCAAACCAGAACATGGACCTCCAGGGTGCCCAAGCAATGCAGTGGCAGCTGGCCTGGAGGCTGCCCCTTCCTTAAGTGTGACCCTGGTTTAGGGGAAACAAGCCCCCAGGGGAAAGCTAGATAGCTTTTAGCCATTGGTGAGCTAGGAGAATATTGTCCTTGGATGTGAACTTAGCGTTAACTAGATTGGATATAGACAAACCTGTTCTATTATTTCCCCCCTGTGATAACAGCTGTAGAGCAGAGCATCAGTAGGTGCTGCATAAAAACACCAGACTGATTTTGCCAACAAGTTCGTGCAGCTTGTAGGCTGTTGCTTTTGCTCTTTTCAAAGAGTCAGGGATTAATCTAGTGGCAAAATAAGTTTAGAGACTGAGCCTCGAGGTACAGAAGTCTCATCCTGTCAGTGTATGGAAATTTCCATTTAATGGGATTACTCGTGTTCTTGCTCCGATGTGTATTTATCTGTCTGAATTGGGGCCTGAATGTATTCCAGGAATTATTCCTGGGAAAGGAGTTTTGCCTTCGTTATCATGCTTGTTTGCACCAGAAACTTGATGCTAAGAATTACCCTCATCCAAGCAAAAAGCGGAAACACAGCCAGAGACTACAGTATCCAAGGCAAACAGCACCAAAACCAAGCGTGGAGGATTAGTTGGCAAATCACTGTGAGCAATGGCTGAGTGAGGAAACAGCAGCCTGCTCACAAACACTGCACAAACAGCGTTTCCCCTGGTAAATTCCAGATTTCTTGCCCGGGAGCAAGTTTTACACAATCCCTTTCATTTTTCCCTGCATTCTTGCAGCTGGGTCCTGCCTTCCCATCCTGTCTGCCAGGGGGGTCGTGTCCCCGTTACACATGTGTGTGCACCTCTGTGTGTGTGTGTGTGTGCGTGTTGTGGCTCCAGGCATCACAGATCCCACCAGTGTTGGA